ATATAATATAATATAATATAATATAATATAATATAATATAATATAATATAATATAATATAATATAATATAATATAATATAATATAATATAATATAATATAATATAATATAATATAATATAATATAATATAATATAATATAATATAATATAATATAATATAAGATGCATGTGAGTTTGTCGCGAGTTTTAAGAAAGTAAAGGATATACGTAGTAGTATTCATTTTACCATTATAATCTCCAAAAAATAAGAAATAGAAAAATGGATTCACAAAAACTATAAGTGAAATGATTGATAAAGAGATAAAGTAATTAAGAAAGTAAAGGTTAGTGTTTTAGTGGATTCCAATTTAAGAAAGTGATCATATTTTTTGGGCAATCGAAAAAGAAAAATGTATCTTACCAAATGAGACGGGGTAATGATATTTACATGGTATGGTTTTGTGTTATTCACATACGAGTATTATAGTAAAAGTGTTATTCATCTTTAGCCTTATAATATCAATCTTAACCTTGAATAAGGTTGTCTTTTCCCGTTTAGGGAAATCTGATTTTGTTTATGAAGGATGTTTTTTCCCGGACAGAGCCTCTTATATAAGGGCTTATTCGACCTTTTTATGTAAGTTCGAGAGTCTATTTGACCATTTCCCCAATTTATCATTTCATGTGAGAGTTGCCTTCGCTACAGAGACTAGTGACTATGGGAAACCCTAGCCACTCCTCCTCCTCCTCCCCCCCTCTTCCTCCTCCTCCTCCTCCTCCTCCTCCTTCTTCTTTCAATCTTCTCTCATTCAATAATGGTAAAATATCATCTTAATCAGTGTTTTCAATTTTATTTATATGTCTCATTTATAGGGTTGTCTAGAGATTTTGTTTTCGGTGGCGAAGTGTCCTCTGCCAGCTGTTTATTCCTCGCCATCTTCAGTCGGGCGTTCTTGCGTGCTAATGAGAGGTTTGCATTGATCTCATCATCAATAAGGAATATGATTTTCTTCTGCGTCAATATTGAGACAGGTCGCCCCCTCCAGAACCACCGCCGTTCCAGGAAGATGGGATCACATAAAGTGCTTTCTTTCCGGTGGCTGGTCAAACCGGAACAAATTTTATGCTTGGATCCTTACCGGTGGCTGGATAAACCGGGATGTTCAATACTGTAATAATTTGTTTGAAAAATATTGTAATCGTAGCAGGAGCAGTCAATCTGCAGGTAGAGTCTACTTCTTTGCGGGATTAGCCATTCAACGTTTTTAATTTGAATCGTCTGTTTCTATGTTTCATTCCATTGTAGCTCTGAGCTATATGATTGTAATTGTCTTTGTTATCTTTATCAATAATAATTAAGTCATTTCCTTTCAAAAAAATATATCAAATCATTATCAATTAAATCAATTACACATTAATGCCATTTGGGCCCATTTCATTTATGTGCGCTCCACAATTCATATGAATCTTCTCTTGGTTGTTTTCCTTTTCTTGTGCGAGGGTATACATACTCTTGACCCTTCCACCTCTTTAGTTTTAACGTTAAGTAGCAAAGGCCCAGATTCCGAATAAAGGCGTAAAGCTAAAGCTCAAGCTTGGGGGTTAATTAACCTTTCAATCCAGTTTGAGGTACACATTTTCATACACATACCTACACGCTCATGTTTGTGAAGAGTATTTTTTTGTCTGTATACAGACATAACACATTTTCAAACACGTTATGTCTGTATACAGACAAAAAAATACTCTTCACAAACATGAGTGTGTAGGTGTGTGTATGAAAAATGTGTACCAATAGATTTTTTTTTGTTAACCTTTTGAAGCACTGTAGCATATTAACCAAACCAGTCCCACTTATGGGCTTTATGACTATGCAGCACACTCATCCCACTAAAAGTTGATGGAGCAAGGTTTTGTTTCGTGGAAATTCCCTCTCTAATATCTTAACGCTTAAGTGAAAATTTTATACTAAAACAAAAGTAAACTCGCTCTAGGATTTCTTACACCTTGGTATGGAAAAATTTGTTAAATAAAACAAATTTATATGAAAAAACTAAAATAATTATGTTCAACAAAACTAACTAGGAATGTACTTTCACTCTTACTTATCCTAATTATCACATAATTCAACATGCAAAATAAAAAATTTAGAGTTTGATTTGTTTTTTTTTAAATTAAAATCAATACATCCCTTTAAAAATATTTATGAATCCGCTAATCGCGTTGGACAATAGCTTATATGAGGCCAAATATTAAGAGTGCGTTTGGTAGTACTGAATGGCTGAATCTGCTAAAATTGATGAAGTTCTTGTTGAATCAGCTAAATCTGCAAAGTTATGGAAGATCATATTTAAAATATCTTTTATTTATAAAATAAAGAAAATTTATATGAAAAAAAGCCAAAATGGTTATCTATTTTTATTTCGACTAATTCAGTAAGATTTTTTTTAAAAAACTTTACTTGTTTTGATTATTACACAATTCATTACTCGAAATCAATAGCTATATACATAGTATTTAATAAGGAATTGCCGGGCAAGACTGATAAGTTGAAAATTGGAGTAACTTAACAGGCTCTAAATGCTTACAGATCAGCTGATTCAACTCACAATTTGAGAGTCCGTTTGGTAGCCCTCATTTTCAGCTTATATAAGTATTTAAAAAATGGGGTACATACTATAGCAGGTACAATACTTGGTTGCATGTGATTCCGAGAACACTGCGTATTTGCGTTTAGACAGCCTATGATAAAGATCACCTATTTGCTTTGTGATGAGCCCATTTGGTAAAATTAAAATTGACTGAATTGGTTGATTCATATAAAATTTATGAAGTTCTGATTAAAGTGACTCAATTAGCTGATTTATGAAAAAAAATACTTTTTAATATAAAATAAAGAAAAAATCATATGAAAATAACTAAAATGATAATTTCCAGTAATTTGAAGAAATCAAACTAGATTGGACTTGAATGAATCAGATCCCAGGAATTACAATTTAAGCGAAAAAGTGTAAGTGTATCGTCTAGTCGAGGTTGTTGAGATCATCTTTGTTTCTAGTTGTGCATGATTTAAAATTTGATTTTTACAAAGTGATTTTAGAGGTATGGTAGGAAAAGTGATTCTCTACACATGTTTCAAGCTTTTAACTTTTAAATATTTATAATCTAAGTAGAAATTGTCACTCAAATTTCAATTTTTTAAGCAAAAAGCTATAGAACACTTTCTAACACAACAGTCTAGAGCTGTCAAAAAACACACAACCACTTTAGCATATTGGACACGGAGGTTAGGGGCAAAAACGTTTTATTAGCAACAAATACAAGTTAAGGAGTACTTCGTTTTTTATAGGTTAAGGTACCCAATAGTCCATACCCATGTTTCAAAAAGACCACTCTTTCTTGTGAACGCTTTTGCCTTTTTGGTACCTTTCTTCTTTCGTGGCTGCTAAACCGAAAAATACTTGGATACTAAGGAATAAGTAAATGACTTGCCAATTGAAATGCTCCAATAGTTTGGCCACGTGTGAATCTCAAAGCACCTTCATTTTCAATTGAAATTAAAATTTTGATGTTTTAATTGGTCTCAAATCAGAAATTACAGTAAGTATAGTTCAACTCCCAAATATGAGCACAATGGCAACATTCCTTCCCAATTAACAGAAAAACATATACACAAGGGTCTATAGTTTATGGGAATGTTTGGCACGAGTCCACCAAGTGAAAATGTATTTTTGTGAGTTTTTTTAGTAACTCTCAACTTTTAATGTTTGAAAAGTTTTTAAAAGCAAAAAGTTGTAGTTGTTACATAAAAAGCCAATACTTTGAATTAGTTTTGTTCAGTGTTCACTATAACTCGTTGTTTGGACTAATTAAAGCTAAAAGTTACGGACAGACTTTCATCTGGATGCTACCCGCTTTTATAAAAAAGCAGCCGTATCGAAATAACTTCTAAAAAAGATCTTTTATTTTGATAAAAGCTTTTAAAAATTGTCATATCAAAGATACAACAAGAAACATTTAGAGACGTTTTAAACAATGCAAAACATACAAAGCAGGGACTTATATCTACCAAACATGCACTATATATTTCAGCGATCGTATGAAAATTACATCTGGAATGACCATAAGACCTATCATTATTGGAATGGAATTTACAATCTCGCATATGTCTTCATACTACCTCCGTTCCTTAAGACTTTGCCAAGTTTGACCGGCACGGGGATTAATAAAGTAAAAACTATGTGGTTGAGATTTGTGCAGTGGAGAGAGAATTAACAGAAACCACATATTCTTTACTTTAAAGGGAAAGTGGCATTGTGGCAAAGTTAGTGGGACATCCAAAAAAGGAAATGATAGAGTATTAATTCTAGAGAGAAGTGAGAGCTAGAGAGAGAAAGTGAGTAATTATATTTCTCAACCCCCTATAACTAGCCCCAAGGGGTCTATTTATAGGTAAAAATGTGGATTTGGGCTCCTAGCCATGGGCTTAGGAGGCCCATTACAATAATCATGCCTCCTTTGGGCGAAATAGGGCCACTAATGGGCTGTGTACAATACTTAGTAAATAAAGTAGAAAGATGCATTCTGCCCGGACGAAGCCGGGCCGATGCGGTGCTTTTGGCCGATGCGGTCTCATGGCCGATGCGGTCTCGGGAGCCCATGTGTGCTTCCTGGGCCGGTTTGGTTTCTGGCCGATGCGGCCACCGGCCGAAGGGGACCACACTGGTGTTCTTCCGGTCATTGTTGACTTGAGTATGTGGGCCATGGGGTCCAGACCCATATACTCTATCAGGAAAGTTGACAAAGTTTTAAGGGACGGAGAGAATAGTTCCTAATATGGGGTTGGGATTCAACTCTTTGAGGGAAAACGCATACACAAGCTACTCACTCAAGTGGCAGTCCTTGTCACACGCAGAAAAAAAGTCTAAGTGGAGTCCACACAGTAAATGGGAAGGTATGTTCCCGCCACCACTTGCCTCGCCTGCCTGCGTCTATATAATTGGGCGTGGGCAGAAATACTACTCCACTATCAATCAACAAACAAAGAACTGACTCTATGCTCTGTTTGTTTCGTCGGGCCACCAAATCGCCAAAAACAGCTAGGCAAATTGCTCTTCTTCCTCCCCGTCCTGTCACCCATCACCACCAAAATCATTTCCTAAAACGTCCCATAGCTACCTACCTTCTTCCACTCCCTTTTCTTTTCCCACATTTGAGTTGAACTTAGCTTCCTTCTTGGGATCCGTAAGAATGGAGCAGAAAAGCTTGTTCATTTCGGCATTGGGTGTAGGGGTCGGGGTTGGGTTGGGATTGGCGTCCGGCCAGGCCGTCAGCAAATGGTCCGGCGCCGGCGCCGCAGCTAGCTCTGCTGCCGGCGGCGTCACCGCCGACCAAATCGAGCTCGAGCTCCGGCGGCTTGTCCTCGACGGCAAGGACGCTGACGTGACGTTTGATAACTTCCCTTACTTCCTCAGGCAAGCGACGTCGCTTTTTGCTGTTTCTTGAATCCTCAATTTCTCATTTCTGGACCCTCTTCTCTGTAGCTGATACTTCTTTCTTTTTAAATTTTTCTCTTTTTTTTTTCTAGCATTTTTCTTTTGCCATTTCAAGAACACTCTTTTTTAAACTGAATACATTCCTCAGATTTATGCTGATTTGCTCCTTTTGAAAAGATAGTTGATTTATTTTTTCTTCCCCAGTTTTAGAATCTCATTCACTTCACTGTGAATTTTTAAAAAATAGCTCTATCTTGTCATTTTCTTTGCATATTTTGCATCATTTTTACCCCCAAAAAAACTGAACTTGAACTTAACAATGACGGGAGGCGAAATTGTTCATTTGTTTGTAGTAAAAGTGGCAGTACTATGAGTAATAAATTTATGATTTTATCATCCAGATCCCCTCCAAATCAGTTGTCTAGCTCGGATTACCATTCTCAATTGAGGATAGAGATAATTATTCCTGAATGGAATTTTGCCTAGCATTAATAATTAAAATTTAAATGTTTAGGAACTATACTTCAAGTTCAAGAATAATAATAAGCACATGCAATATTACAAAAATTTGGCACATAAAATTTGAAATTAAGAGAGAGTAGAAGGAGAGACTGGGGTTGAAAAACCATTTGCTCTAAGTATGAGACTGGTGTTCAAAAAAGCTGTACTGGGTTACCCTGTAATTAAATAAGAATACATGGGAAGCTGTCTAGATCTAGAGTGTTAGTCATTTCAACGGCCAAATATAAAAATACAGACAAATATAAACTTGGGACTACTTTTCCTATCAAAATAAGCTTTTACAATGAAATTCCACATTTTAGTACAGTACCAGGGCCTAGTGATTCAGATTTGAGACCATGTCTTGAATCAATTTAGCAAGCATTAAGTGCATTTCAGTGAGATTGTGTTTGCTCTTAACTTTTAGAAGTTGTTTTCTATAGTTACGTTGTGCTTCCTCTGAAGTTGATTACATTGCAGTGAAAGGTCGCGGGAATCACTTACTAGTGCAGCATATTTTCATCTGAATCACATGGATATGTCTCGACACACTCGAAATCTCCCGCCTGCTAGTAGGGCAATATTGCTTTCAGGACTTGCGGGTATGAGTCCTATATCATCAAGAACTTGTAGAACTTGTGTTCGTGTTTCTATCTTTGGTTTATGTGTCCACCCTGATTAATTTATTCATATATACCCCAGAACTTTGCCAGCAATCTCTTGCAAAGGCACTTGCTCATCATTTTAAAGCAAAACTGCTTCTACTGGATATATCCAACTTTTCACAAAAGGTCAGTTTTTGTAAAAACAATTCTTTTCAGCTACTTGTATCATATTATATCCATCACTCATACTTTTCTTGTTTTGCTTCATGGGCTCTTTTCCCTCAGATACAAAGCAAATATGGCGGTGGTGTCAAAACAGAGTCTGTAAGCACTATTTTATTTGCTCTTTTGATTTTAAGCAAGAGACCTGATTTTTCATGCACATTATGTGTATTCTTTTTAATGAAAGTACACCTTTATTAACTGCCTTCTATGATTTTCTGGTAATCTAGGAGGTTTGTCTTATAATTTTAGTATTTAATAGTATATTACAAAAAAACAAAAATTATGAAGCGAAGTATTGCTTTATTGTCATTATACTAGTCACTGCATATATACCACCACAGTTACTGCATAGTAAATTGAATATCATCATGGTCACTACACTATCACCACCCTCACAGTAAAAATTATATTTTTGTATATGTATTATTTTTGTCACATATTTGTCACTGTTTCTTTGTTTTAAGCTCCCACAAATCACAGATTATCTAACTAGAGTGTGACCCGGTTGATTTCTTTCAGTGAATACAAGACCATTTTGCTTATACCGGAATTAAACTTGACTTTGACCTAGATTTTTTTATCCTTACAGTCCTCCAAGAGGTCCCTCTCAGAGGTCACACTGGGATCTGTGTCCAACTGGCTTGGTTCTTTCTCAATCCTTCCAGGAAAAGAAGGTAGTGGAGGTAGCCAAAAAGCCATGTCATTCCTTAAGTACTGCATCAATTTTTTTGTTTTCCGTATTTCATATTTACACTCCATAAATTCTTGTGTGTCACCTTTCAGGCATATTACCTTGGCAAACCAGTGGACTAGATGTCAAGTCAAGGTAAATTATTTGCTCTATGTATAATTGAACTTGAGTAATGTAAGTTGATATATGCATCACTTTCTCTTTTATCCCTGGCTTAATAGGAATGCTGAAGGTTCAGAAAACACTCTAAAGCAACGCAGAAATGCCTCCATCTCTTCAGGTGGGTATACATAAACATGCTTTCATGTTGAGATATTGCATGCATTGATTAAAAATTTCAGATAAATATTAAATGCAACTTTAGGTTGAATTTATGAATTAACATCACTCTACAAACTTGGCTCATTTTTTCTTTAGTATATTTCTCATTAAGCTTACCCAATTGTTCTTTTTGTCATTTACTCCACTGAATGAACTGAAGATTCCACTGTGTTGACAATATTCTAATAGCATAACAATAACATTATGTTGTGTCACACTTTTATCTTATTGACCCTCTTCTTAATTTCATCAGCTCCAACTAGACGATCCAACAACTGGGCATTTGATGAAAAATCTCTCTTGCAGTCCCTTTACAAGGTAATGAAAATATTTCTTCTCTCAAAGTTACTGCATGAATTTCATTCTCTTGGCTCACATTACATGTCTTAAATGATATTAAGACTTGAAATCCCATCCATATCTTCTATGTTATTTGTTATTTAAAATTTACCCCATGTTGAAAAAACTCACCAGCATTTTTCACGACCAAACGATTCGTCTAGATCGTGCATTTGTTTTGTCTCTAACAGTTACACACCTCTCACGGCCTGAAACATCACCTGGACTATACAGTTTCGTCATAGGGGCCACATAGAGGCTACATATTGGTTTTGCCATGATACCATATTATATTAAGACTTAAGTTTCCTAGTAAATCTGATATTAGGAGTGGCATATATTTTATATGTTATTTTTAATTTCATATTCTGATTTAGGTCATACTATTCAATGATTTGCAGGTTCTAGTTTCGGTCTCATCAACTGAGTGTATCATTCTCTACATCAGGGATATAGATAGACACCTTCAATGTCCACGATTTTACCATCTTTTTGAGAGAACACTGAATAAAATATCAGGGTCGGTCTTGGTTCTTGGGTCCCGAATGATAAAACTTCCCGTTGAAGACCATGGTGGAATTGATGAAAAAGTCAGTCTATTGTTTCCCTACAACATTGAGATAAGGCCACCCGAAGATGAGACTCACCTTTCTAAATGGAAGTCCCAACTGGAAGAGGATATGAAGATGATCCAGTTTCAGGACAACAGAAATCATATCGCGATTGTACTTGCATCAAATGACATTGAATGTGATGATCTAGGGTCAATCTGTCAAGCAGATGCTATGGTTCTGAGCAACTACATCGAGGAAATCATAGTTTCAGCAATATCATACCATCTGTTGCATAACAAGGATCTAGAATATCGAAATGGAAAGCTTGTTATATCATCGAAGAGGTAATTGCCAATTTTTCTTATTCCAATATTATAATTATTACTTCCTCAGTCTCATATTAAGGTTCTTGTTATGATTTATGCATGGCGATAATTTTATCAATACCATAATAATATTATTTTGTTTTGACATACCATAATAATATAAGAATTAATAATATATATTTATTTTGACAAACCATAATAATATAAAATCAGAATTAATAATTCACTTTTACAAAAAAAAAAAATCACTTTTACATATTTAGAAACTGCACTAAAATTTAAACTGCCCAAAACATGTTTGGATATGAAAAAAATGATTTGTAAAATCAATAAACCATAGATTAATAGAGAGTTAAGTGACTATAGGATTAGTGAATGAGTTCCTTTTTATGAGGCAGAGTGAATATATGATAGTTTTTTTCTAGTGATATATGTTCTTGTATTCACTACAATATCCATGGAACAGTTTGTCCCATGGGTTAAGCATATTCCAGGAAGGAAAGAAAGGACACAGAGACTCTCTCAAACTGGAGACAAATGCTGAAAAAGCAGACACCCTTGTGAAAAATGCTCCTGTAAGACCTCTCTTTGATCATTAAAAGAACGTGCACAGTCCAATTACGTAGTACTTTGTATTGCAATCATTTTTCTTTCCCAAAGTGTCAAATAATTACAAGTTCAGACATATATGTTATTCCCCTCTAATTATAATCTCATCAACTAAATTGTATTCAAATTTAAGAGCCAGATTGGTATGTAAAAAGGGCTTATACGCCTTAAAGATGGGAAAAAGGCACCAAACACTCCAACATAAATTAGGCTTTTCAGCAAAAAATCGCTTATTTGCTACTGTTTCAGCTAATTCATACTACGTATTTTTATACTGAAATAATGAACCTGTCCACCTTTTCTCGTTTTGCCCCATACAAAAATGTATTACATACTTGTCCAATCAATTATTTTAACTAAAAACAATCAGCACAGATTAAACACTGCAGAATAAGATATGAAAGTGTAGTATTGGCTGAACTTTTTTTTTCTTTAAGCATTTTACTTGAGAAACCACATCTTTATTTTAGCTGTGATGATCTCAGGAAAATCCTCCAGACAATGAATTTGAAAAGCGCTTAAGGCCTGAGGTAATTTCTGCAAAGGACATTGGGGTGACTTTTGAAGATATTGGTTCACTGGATGAGACTAAAAAATCACTTCAAGAACTGGTTATGCTTCCTCTTCGGAGACCTGACCTCTTCAATGGTGGACTTCTTAAGCCCTGCCGAGGCATATTGCTGTTTGGTCCTCCTGGTACCGGAAAAACTATGCTGGCAAAGGCTATTGCCAATGAAGCTGGAGCAAGCTTTATAAATGTCTCCATGTCAACCATCACATCAAAATGGTTTGGTGAAGATGAGAAGACTGTCCGAGCTTTGTTCACTCTTGCAGCCAAAGTTTCTCCAACAATTATTTTTGTGGATGAGGTCGATAGCATGCTTGGGCAGCGAACAAGAGAGGGAGAGCATGAAGCTATGCGTAAAATTAAGAATGAATTCATGACTCATTGGGATGGATTATTGACAAAAGCTGGTGAGCGCATACTCGTTCTTGCTGCAACCAATAGGCCATTTGACCTTGATGAAGCAATTATCAGGCGGTTTGAGCGGAGGTATAGTCATAATTATGCCAACTTTGAATTGAAGTTTCCCCGTTATCTGGGTTTTTACCCATAGACAAAGATCTTTCTCCCTAATAAGCATTCCACATCAATCAATTGCTAAATAAATACACAATCACGTATAAACCTTAGAATACAAAAAAATGTATAAGGTCTTGGACTATTCCTATAAAATTTTGATATTTTAGGGTAAAACTTTAGGTTTTAATACTCCACTATATGGAGTGTGAGGATAAGAAAATTTGAAATAGTGACAAATGTATTACTAAAATAAAAATAATGGACAAAGAATCATTTTTAAAGGTTTAATACACGACTTTAATGTTTTTTTCTTGTCTGTAGTGACAATATAATGTTTAATTTTTACATTACAGTGACTATGGCTGTATTTCGATGTCACTTTAGTGACTACAAAGTTATATTTTTGTCATGACCTATATTTTAGTAATATTATTCGAAAACCCCCTAAGAACTGTCTGTTTTGTTGGGCAGAATTATGGTTGGTCTACCATCAGCGGAAAACAGAGAAAAGATCTTGAGAACTCTACTAGCAAAGGAAAAAGTAGAAGATATTGATTTCAAAGAGCTTGCAACAATGACAGATGGATACAGTGGAAGTGATCTCAAGGTTTGTACTTTGAAAAGAATGAAAGGACTTTATACTTTGTAAATATATTATCATCTGGGCTGCCACTAATGTCATTAACCATTGAATACAGAATTTGTGCGTCACAGCAGCTTACCGACCAGTGAGAGAGCTAATACAGCAAGAGCGAGAGAAGGACATGGTACTACGTACTATTATTTAATTAAAACTTCATATCTTTCTACTACTGCTGCTTCATTCTATTCCGACTAGATCTTTATTATTTTCTAATAAATGACTATCTTTAGGAGAAGAAGCACAAAGCTGTGGAAGGACAAAGCACAGAAGATGTGCCAGACAAAAAAGATGCAGACAAAAAAGATGAGGCAGAGGAAAGAGTCATCACTCTGAGGCCATTGAATATGGAAGACATGAAGCTAGCAAAGAATCAGGTAATTTATCCCAGTTATGTCTGCAAGTATATCCCAAAAAGAATAATATTTCACGACACCCGATCCTATATACTTTGGTCTATTAGCTCACGTCGAAAACAATGTGAGTATAAGATGTGTACTGTAGACTATTCTTATGAGGTGTGTTTTAGTCTATTTGTGTAGACAATGTGAGAATCTAATTTTTGGTCTATTTGTGTGTACTGTAATACATTAATAATCTATCTTACATCCGTCAAATATAAAGCTGTAGACTACTCTTATGAGGTCGATATCTTAGAATGAAAACCAAGTCGTAATATAATATTAGAGTCTATTACATTTCAATGAGTTATTCGGTTTGACAAAGACTTTAAAAGAGTACACAGTTTTCAAGACTGATTTGCTCCAACGAGCCTGCATTTGCAGGGCAAGTTATGTCACCCACACCGGTCAAATACAAAAACACAACTATTTTATAAGGCCTTACTCATGTTGTTTGACATTTTAGGACGTAACACCAAATGTTAATACTCCCTATAAAAATCTAATTTTTTATAAGAATCTAACTTTTTGCCCTTGCAGATTGCTGCTAGTTTTGCTGTGGGGGGATCCATAATGGCTGAGCTCAAGCAATGGAATGAACTATACGGAGAAGGTGGTTCGAGAAAGAAGGAACAGCTGTCTTACTTCTTTTAGACAGTCAGATACACACACTATTTGACATTCTTGTGATGTAGCGATACTTATGATGGCGTGCTAGATATCTTCCCCGAGTCTTGGAACGGCACAGAGACTACACACCGCATCATAGAGATTTGCTGCATCTCCTCATTTTAATTGCTCAAGCATTTCCTTTCATTTGTGTATGGGTTATTGAAGCCTGTATACTATATATAATAGGGAAGTATTTGTCCCATATGTATCTCATTGTGAACTATATATGTAATTATGTAGTAAAAACGTTAATAGTGTGTTTTAAGTTTATATATGTTGTGAAATGAATGGTATTTTAATCAGTTCATTCTTATTTAGTGTATTTCTGGAACCTCTCTACCTATAGCCTATAGGTGATTAATTTTCAAAGAAGTTTGCACATACTCCACATCCATAAAGAACTAGGGCTGCACAAGAATAACCCGAACCAGCATAACCCGCCCGACCCGACCCTACCCGGCCCTATTTAATCGGGTATTTGCTTTTTAAAAATATTCATGAATTAAATATGTTTGAACCCGCACTAATGGGTAGTGTTGCAGAATTAAAATCTCAAACCCGATAGTACTTGACCCGGCCGGAGTTCATTTTACTATTCTTATGCTACAACGTTTTCTTGGATAATTTCAATTTAAGACCAATGTGCTCTATTTAGGACTTTATGATATTAGAATTATAATTAAACACTTATCATTTTGACTAGGTGATTATTATTATATATTTACGTTTCCTTTTAAATGAACTTCCTTTACGGAAGGATGTTTTAAGGGGTAATTTGAGTTTGCACCCCATATTCTTGTCTAAATTGGACTTTGCACCCCATTTTTAAAACTCTTTGTTATTGCACCCCAACCCCATATGAAAAGACAAAAAAGCCCCTCCATTAACAATTCTGTTGACCTTTAACATATTCGTGATTGAGGGCATTTTTGTCTTTTCATATGAGGTTGGGGTGCAATAACAAAGAGTTTTAAAAACGGGGTGCAAAGTCCAATTTAGACAATAATATGGGGTGCAAACTCAAATCACCCCATGTTTTAATACTATTACCTAATGTTTTTGCTTATAAAAGATATGAGTACTTGTATTTGTTTGTGTGTTTTGGAAACAAGTTAATTGAGTTTTAAATTGGTTACATTAATTTTCCACATGAAAGATGCAACCCGAAGTGATTTTTTCCCCAATACCCGACCCTACCCGACTCGTTCATGCATGATTGACCAACTTATTTTGCGTATCGCGGGTTGGTTAATAGCCAACCCAAACAAATCGGGTAGGCAACCCGCCCGATGTGTAGCCCTATAAAGAACTTCAGTTGTCTCACTTGACTTATTATTCGCCATTATTGGGAATTGGGATTTGAACGTGGACCATTTGAGTAGAATAGAAGGGAAAACGATTAAATCAACCTAATAATGCTAAATATTATTACCAGTTCGGCATAAGCTTGCATGACCAATAATGGTGAATATACTTTTCATGTTTCCAACTTTCTTTAATTTAGAATTTAGATAGAAAACCCACGAACCATGATCACTTATTTAGACCAATCATAATTAACACTTGTTATCACTTACTTAATTATGGTTAATTATGGTTAATTGAATTGTACTTTGGGTATGAACATAAGATATTCATATTTTGGGAATGTGATTGTCAGTCAGGACCTCTATCAGGTATCAATTACTCTATTAGTTGGATGCAAATTTTGACTCCAACCCTTTCACCCATCAATAAGGGCAACTTCTAAATAAACAAAAATGTGTACATGTGTGAGTGTGTGTATGCAAGTAATATACGAAGTAAGAGTATTATCATAAGTATGGAATATATGAAAGTCTAATAAAAAGACATTTCAAAAGATTTAAAAGGATGAGTTCACATGTTCGAAACTCATCTTAGTCAAGATGTTGACGTTTAGTGATTCAACATTGAACGTATATTATAATAAGTTAAAAAGTCTACCATAAAAGTTTGGAATTTTTTTCTTGCATTAATATCATCTTCTTTGTTGATCACAATCTATCCATTTATCTCAATCGTTTGATAATTTAATTTATAATAATTAGTTTATAGTACATATTTAGTTATAATGTTTCATCCTTTCCTGTTAATTTATTTTTATCACATGATGCATAATAATCTTGTAATAATGAAAAACGCTTGATAAACGATTATCCAGACCTATTTGAATTACGATCTTATAAATTGGAGGTTACAAGTATGAACCTCATTTAATAAAGATTGACATTGTTGAACATATATTATAACTAATGACTAATGAGAGTAAAATATGCAAAAAAAAAAAAAACAAACAAACTAATGAGAGTAAATGAAAAAGGAAATTAAAAAAATTAAGCTAAAACGATGCTGTTTTGCGAAAATGCGAAGATGTTACTATCTCCGGTTAATTCTTCCATTCCGTTAATTCGTTGCCAGTGACGTACAGCTCTGAATCTCTGTGTATCCAGAATTTGATTAGACCGACGCATAGGAATCCATTTCACGAGTAGAATGGATCAATCAAAATTAGAGAGATATGAAGAACTAGGGTTAAGGGAGGCCTTGAATCGACCCCATCGCTACCCACTCGCTTGCAATGAGCTGAGCTCTATCCTCCGAGACGCATATTCTCAACTCTCCAAGAATCTTCAGTCTCATATCTTCCATGATACTCTTCTCGCCTTTCAGCTCCTTCCGGAGTAAGTTCATCTTTTTATTCTGAGAGGTTCTTGAGTCATCATATAATTGTTATTTTCTCTGAATCGTATATGGAGGAGTAATTTAGTTAGGGGTTTTAAAACGATGTAAAACGGTTATAAATTATGTGGTGCTTTTGATTCAAATGATGCTTATGTAGTTAGATTCTAAATACTTTGTTGATAGCATAACTCAGATGAATTTTTTTAGCAAGGCTCTTATAAGTTATCTGAATTATGATAAAAACGTTCTATTTTTATGTAGAAAAACTTTTCACATGGAATTGTTTTGTTTTTATACGATGATGAAGATAGTGCTAATTACGTAGTATTTGTGTGTCATTAGTTATTTTAGTTCTTTTGGTGTATATCTGCATGGATTATTTTTCTACTCCATAGTATTCTCTCTGTCCCTTAAAACTTGGCCAAGTTTAACGAGTACAAGGATTAATAAAGTAAAAATTTTGTGTAGAGAAGAGAGAATTAGCTGGAACCATAAATTCTTTACTTAGGAAAGTTGACAATGTCTTAAGAGACAAAGAAAGTATATTAAAGTGGTTCTCATGTTTGATGGATATGGGAAAAAAATTCACCCCCCTGTAATGATAGATCCTGACTTTGTCCCTGGTTGTGACTGTATAAGTGTATAACGATGATGCTAAGCTGTTTGTACTCTCTATAATTCATATTCTTCTCATTTATGCATAGAAACATGATTGTTTATAAGACCTATATGGAGTATTATTTAACTTTCTCTTTAATGTATAATATTGATAATCTGATTATGCAATACATGATCTAGATATGATATATCAAAGGAAATTCCTTCATAATGTAGTATGTTTGGATTTTAGATGCTGCATTCTCTACCCTCTTCTTACATCTGCTTCTGGTAGTAGATATCAGGGACACTGTTGTTGAACCATGTTAACTTTAGAATGCAGACGCAAGCTTCAATAACTGCAGCTAACGCTCTTCTGCATAGTGTGGACGCTGTTTTGCCTAAACAAAAGAGGATTTTGGCTGCTAGAGAATTCAAACATGCAATGATTGCTCATAAGAGGCGCGGCAAGGCCATTTGTGATGAAGGCGGTAGTGTCTAACTAAACCCTTCCCTTTTCCTCAAAGAGACTTGAAATTCCATCCTTGCTAAATCCCAGGAAACATTTTAATTGCAAGGGTGCTTTGTGCGTAAACCAAGACCTATGACCATAAAATGGTGTTATGTATATTGCTGTCTTTTTGTGTGTGTGTGTTCAAATTCACGGGCTACTTTCTGCTGCTTAACTGTGATAGTGGTGTCATTCAGGTCTTATACAAAAATTTCATGGAGATGTTCTTGCACACATCTTCCAATTTTTGGATGTTCAAACTCTGTTACTTGCTGCACTAGTTTGCCGGTACAGTACTCCTATTCTTTTAGACTTGGTTCATAGCTCTAGTAGCTACTGACAAACAAGCATAGTCCTAAGGGCGTGAGCATCAATATGGGTGTAATTATACTGCAGCTTCCTAAATTGCATGTTAATGTTCAGGTCATGGAGAGAAGCAACTTGGGATAACCGTCTGTGGCAGTCAATATATGCCGATTTTTTGGGCACTTCTGTTAACATGTCCAATGATATTGGGCATAAAAGCTACACATCATCCCAGAATATGCAAAGTACATGTCATGAAGAAATAAATACTACAACAAGGGTTGACTGGAAAGACGCTTTCAAGATAGCTCATAAAGGTACATTTGAAATCTATAATTTTATAGCCTGAGAGAAATAATCCCAGTTAACTGCCTATTATATATATATCCTTTGTTTGAAACACTACAGATCTTTTTATTATTATTTACTGCTGATATGTTTCCCATTCTACTTGCTCACCATTGCTTTCTTTTGCTCACATTCAGATAGATCATCGAAAATGCTACTAACATCTCCAAGGGGGTACTGCTGTTACTGTCGTTCAGCAGTCTGGCTTAATAGTGGCAAGTGTTCGAAAAGTCAAACTGGCCAAGAGTGTTGCTACGGTACGGTCAAACCTGTTTCAACTGAACAGGTACTTTCTCATCCCCTAAGAAAAAAAACCAATCCAGATACCTCTATGGATAATCAAACTCTTATTCTTCGTGCATCATTACAATTTACAAGCCATATTGGTACATAAAGTCTTCACTAATTTGGACTCTGCCCTTCCATTTTCAGATTGTTCACTATGTATTATCAGGCTCCATACCTGGATCTTCTTGCATTTTTGACAGTGATTCAGAAGACAGTGACAGTGATGATGAATGTACGTGTAAGATGTGGGCCTTTCCTATGCGACTCGCCTCTTTTAATATGTACGTAGAGAGGCAAGGGGAGATTGATTAGAGATTTTATATGTATATTTTACTTTAATAAAAAGTATTTTAGAAATTATTTTCTACAATTTGTCACACCGTAAATAACATTGCTTCCCTCCCGAAATATACAAGGCATTTACTTTCAGCGTGATCTTTGATAAACACATTTATAATGTGGTATATTGTTCTAAATCATCCTTCACAAAGAACACAAATCGTAGAAAAATTGTCACCATGGTGGTCACTGTGGGCGGTAGTACGGTAACCGTGGTGGTCACTTTGATCGGCGGAAGCAATGGTCACTGTGGTCGGTGGTGGTCACTGAGGCATTGGTCACTGCCAATGGAGTCGGTGGTGCTAGTCATTATAGCAATGGGTCAAGTGGAAAGGGTGTAATTGTTCTCTTGATCCATTTTAGTCTCGTTTTTGGAAACTTTAAAAAGCTTCTTTTTATCCATTGATTAATTTTTAGTAATATTCTTGTTCTAACCCAATCATGGGTCATCCGGATATAATAATTCTGTGCTTTAGTATATGGGTAAAATTGCATATCCGACCCATTCTTACCTCACCATAGGTGAGAGCCTTTGCGGCACTAGGGTAATGTTGCTGTTGTTGTTGTTGTTGTTGTTGTTGTATTCTTGTCCTATATCTCCAAAGTTTTAACCATTTTCTTATAACCAAATAATTTCTTTTGATTTGCCACTTTTTACTCTTGCAATTGTTTGAACCACAAATGAAAAAGTTATAACAATTGTAAGGGGGCGTTTGGTATGAAGTAAAATAATTACTTCGCAGCAAAGTGCAGGGATGTAAAATGTTTACACTGTTTGATTGAGTTATTTAATGTAAATTGTAGGTCACTTTTTAAAAGATTTTGCAGTGTACCATGTAAAGTATTTTACATGAGGGGAAGGTGGTAAAATATTTTGCATTATTTTTATAAAGCACTGCAACGCCTTTGCGTGCAAATTAAAAATAAATGACATATCTAACCAAACAATGTAATATATTTCACATGCAAAATGATTGTTTCCCTAAACTTTGCATGCAATCATTTTACGTGTAAAGATTTAACATGTAAACTTCCAAACGGGCCCTAAAAGTAAAACGAATTCACTTGCCACATGACAAATTGACAATCTAATAGGGAGGGGCGAACATAACCCTCATTTGCAAGTGAGAGTAAGAAAATAGCTAAAAAATATTTATTTGAGCAAGATTATTGAAGTGTCCGAATTATGCTAGAATTGTGCTTTTAAATTCAAATTCAGAGTAGTGTTTATAACAAGGACCAGGTTGAGACTGTCGTTTTATGCACGCCTTCAACCGAGAGTCTGGAGTGACGGCATGACTACGAAGGCCTACTATATTCTAGAAAGACGTGATCGTCGACGGATGTCAATTACAAGTATAATACAACGTCCGTTCAAGCAGGGGAGGAGAAACGTTCGTTCACGTCCGGCGGCATATTACATTTTGCTGCAAAAAAAGGAATTAAAGTCATAATTTGCTGAGTCATCCTTTCTAGGAGGCCTTCTGAAAATAGACACCCGCATTGACATTGTGCGTTCCAGACTTCCAGCTCATCCTCACATTTGATATACACACTCGATTGGAGAAGAAATTTTTACTTCCTCCTCAAATTAGTTGACGTGGCAGTGCATGTTTTAGAATCCAAAGCCCCGTTAAAGATGCTCTTAGATGGCTCTGGGGACACTCCCCAAGTTATCGGTATTTTTTTTTTGTCATTTTTAAGCGATTGTATCATAGACAATTTCTTACCAAATCTTATCGGAACACTAATAATTTGCATTAAAAATGAAAAAAAAATGCTTGTTATTGGGACAAAAATGGGGCGTGTACATGACATGAACAAAAAGATTTTTTTCTATTAATTTGGACTATAAAATGATGCCATAATGAGTAGCCGAATAGGGCATTTCTCCCTTTTCAATAATTGATCTTAACGAAATACAACAAGTAATTCCTCGGTCATATAAAACTTGATTAAATTTTCTTTAAAAAACCTTGACTAAATTTAATGTACACGTGGAATATTAAAGTAAAATTTGTGCGGTTGAAAAATATGCGGAGTTAAAAGAAATTACTATAATCGTATATTTATTATTTTTAATGGAAGATGATAAAGTTTTTTAGGATGACCATAAAAGGATTTTTTGGAAAGTAGGGAATAAGAAATCATTTATTCATTTTTCTTTTAAGTAATGTCCATATTAAGTTATTTGTCGCGACTAAGGATGTTACTAATTGGACTTGTTTTCGTCTTAGATTAGACTAAGCCCACTAAGGTTGTGTTCGGTAGGAGGTTTCAGCCGATAATTGCTACAATTTTATAAATTCAGCTAATAAATATAAAAATAGTTCTGTTTGGGCGAAAGACCGAATCAAGCTGATGGTGAAAATAATGGACTGAATAGAAACATTGCTTAACCTGAAATTTCTATTTGGTGAAGATGGAAGCTAATGAAGAAAGAAGATGAATGAGATATGAATACCCAATATATATATATACACAAAAATGATCATGTCCGAACGTTCGGACAGGATCCTCCTTCCGAACATCCCCGTTTGGAGCTCTTCCCGGTGGAATTTTTTGATGAAATTTTTTGAGCATGTTCCTCATCAAGTCTAGTTTGTCCATACCAAATTTCAGATCAAAATTCGATCGGGAAGGCATTCAAATCATTTTTTGAAGTTGACTGCGTTTTTATATGTATATTTTGACGCAGTCAACTTCAAAAAATCATTTGAATGCCTTCCCGATCAAATTTTGAGCTGAAATTTGGTATGGACAAACTAGACTTGATGAGGAACATGCTCAAAAAAATTCATCAAAAAATTCCACTGGAAAGGGCCCCAAATGGGGATGTTCGGACGGTGTTTGGACCAGGAATGTTCGGACCTGAACATTCCTATATATATATATATATATATATATATATATATATATATATAGGGAACTCTTCCGGTAAGGTATACCTTACCGGAGCCGCCGTGCGGCCTCCACGTTTTGAGGGTCTTCCCGGTGGAATTTTTCGATGAAATTTTTTGATCATGTTCTTCATCAAGTCTAATACATCCATACCAAATTTCACCAAAAAATTCAATCGGGAAGGCAGTCAAATGATTTTTGGAAGATAACTGCAACCTTTATATACATATAAAACGCAGTTATCTTCCAAAAATCGTTTGACTGCCTTCCCGATTGCATTTTTTGTTGAAATTTGGTATGGATGTAATAGATTTGATAAAGAACATGTACAAAAAATTTCATCAAAAAATTCCACTGGGAAGGCCCTCAAAACGTGGAGGCCGCACGACGGCTCCGGTAAGGTATACCTTACCGGAAGTTTTTCCTATATATATATATATATATATATATATATATATATATATATATATATATATATATATATATATATAAACCTTCAACAATTTACCATTTATTTTACCCCTCCCTTTCTCTTCCCTTCTTCTCTTCTTCTCTCCATTCGTACAGTTCTCTCCCCCTTTTTCCTCTTTTTCCTTTATTCCATCTTCATCACATCATCTTCACAATTTCCATGTCCAACACCTTTCATCTTCACCATTCATATCTCATTCATCTTCTTTCTTCATTAGCTTCCATCTTCACCATGTCATATTGTGTCATCTTTTATCTCACCTACTTCATTATCATCAGAGTTGTAGTCACTGGAAGTGTCGTTAGAGAATAACCGGAGTTGAAGTAACCGTAAATTATATAATTTGTCTATATGAACAAATGAAACTGAAAGACTAATAACACTTTGTAAAATTTCGCCATAGAAAAAAATGTATGTATATGGACACTTGTTTTCTATCAGTGTCTGTGTACACCGAAAAAAATGTTGCAAAGAAATCAAGGTTAGGTGACACAGAAATCAATGTTTGCGCCCACAGACAAAAAATACATGAGTACAAACACTTTTATCTGTACAAATAACTAATACTACCTCAATCCCACTAACAATGGAAAATGAGGGGGTGGTGCGAATATTAAGAAACTGAGTTTATGTGATTAACTAGTTTACCAACGCGCGATGCGCGATAAGAAAATGCCCAATACTATTTTGGTAGGGTTAATATACGGAGTAATTGAGTTCTCGTATTCCACATTTTTTTGTAATGGTTAAAAACAAGCGCCATATATCTTTTCTGCAAAGAAATGTGGCAAGAATATTTCCTAGGACAAAACATATGAATATCCTATGAGATATAGCTAGAGGATCTAAAAAAAGTCTAGGTTAAATTAATAAGGAGTTTATAGTGAGTGTGTGATTTGGAGTCGAGTCTAATTTGTATCATTGGAGTATATGCCCTCTGAAGGAAGTTTTTATGCCCCCTCTGGTTTTAATTTTGTTTTTGTTTATAAAACTTTTTTCCATTCAAAAAAAGAAATAAAATACGGAGTAGAAAATAAGAATATATGGTTGGACTAAGGTGTTAGTATCTTTCCTTCACGAGCTTGTCTTACTTTTGATAATTTTGGCACAATTGAAAATAATGTCAGGAACACATGTTGCCAGATAATGTTATACAGGCTTAACAATTAATATTGAATTTGTATTCCGAATAGAAACTTGAGACTAATACACTTTAAAAATGCAATTCTGATCCCGTCAGTACAGCTAAATAGAAGATAGAACTGACTCACCCAACTAATCGAGAGTATAAAGACGAGAGTGCAACAAGTTTTAAAAATCTGTAGTGAAAATAGCATGAAGGTGGAATCATTAACCTCCCGAGCATATCTCATCACTTCGCTAGCAAACATAATACCTTACCAAGCTCAAAGTCGACGCTGGACTCCTCTAAAGTTTTTAGCTTGAAACCAAACTCAAAATGAGTAAATAATAACCATTTCACATATGCATGTATATTTTGGTGGTACAAATAATAACATGGTCAAATAGAACATATCAGTGAACTGCACTAAATACAGAGAAATTACCATGGTAGCTCTATGTAAAGTTGATTATTTGAGGGAATCAACCGCATCACTTATCCTAAATCAAGACCTTAGAGATCGAAAAAAATATACGTTACTAATTTTCTTATAAATAATTGTCAACTTATCTTTGAAAATATGTTTAATGAACC